TTTAATAACTTTAAGACAATTGAATCTTGTTATAAAATATATATTGTTTATTTTAACACACATAAAATGATAATTATTATGTGATTTTATATTGTTATCATTTAGTTTTATATTTTATGATTTTAATATGTAATAAATTTCTAGTAAATTGATACATAATAAAATAATTATATACAATATAATAATACTTTCTTAAAAATTATAATAACTGACCAAATTTAAAATTTAAACTCATGAACATGTTTTGACATTTCTTACAATAAACTTGAGGAATTATTATTTTTTTCTGTCAATCTATTAGGTTAACAACACTGTGATAGTATCTCTGAGTTTTTATCAATTTATTTTTATCAGTTTTCAACTATATTTTTATAAATTAGTTTACAATGCATCTAAGAACTTAATGGAAACCCAACGAGATGTGTTTCACTGAATTTTAAACAACACTAAATGCTTTGTATGAAGCTAAAACCACTTTGACTTTAGTAACAGAAAACAATTTTTATAATTAAATAATTACTTATCATTTTACACTTATATTTAAAATGAAAATAAAAACCAATTGTTATTTTAAAAAATTAATACATTCTACAAAACTGATATCAATTATTAAGTAAGCACCCATGAAAAAATCAGCATTAAAATATAACTTAATTTAAGTATAATTTGTTGTTTATTGTAAAGAAAATATCAAGTTAACCATGTTATTTGAAGTATTGAATTCAAAATAAAAATAAAACTATATAGAATCCAAGATATAATACTAAATATTCACATATGAACCATTAATAAAAAAACACAATAATATGAAAGAATGTCTTTTAAAATAGAAAATTATTATGGCAGTTTACAAATGAAATTAATACTATTAAGAAGAATGAACTAAACATATTTTATATATTATATTTTTGGAATAAAAATATTTTATTTATCAATGATAATAATTTACAAACTTACCTAAAATATGCAAGGTATAAATAAATAATGATTACCATATTAATTTTGAATGTTAAATATTGTTAAGATAAATAAATGGATCAGCTTAATTTTTTAAAATTTTTTAGTAATAAAAAAAATTCAATTCAACTTTTTTTTTTATGTATTAATTTTTCTTCTATAACACTTGTAATAAATTTTTTATTACTAATTTTGGAATTTTAACTGATAATTCAATGTTCATAGTTCTACTCCATAATAAAGTTTTCAACATATCTTTTTAATTATAATTATTCTACAATTCAATTTTAGTTTTCATTTACATTTATAAATGTTCAACCTCCAATCACTTTATTTAAATAATTTATTTTACAAGTTAGGAGTTGGAATTTACTATTCTAAAGTTTACTTCAATTCAATTTAAAATCATAGAATTTTTTTTCATATTTATTATGGATGTTATTGATTTTAACATCCATTATTTCTATAGAGTTATTTAAAGAAATAAAAAAATGTATACAACAAAACTGAATCATCAATATTTAAAGGAATTTGATAATTCTCTAAAAACAGAACTGGTTTTATTTTATGAAAAACTAATAATTGTCTTTATTTAATAATTTTCTAATATTCTGTTTTGTATTATCGATTAAGTTAAATCTTGAATGAGTAATTAAATTGTCCACTTTTCATATTACATGTATTAAAATATTTTATTGAAAAATTCTATTGTTTTACTTTCAATTTGATGAAATACCATTTCAAGTTTGTAATTATAAATCATTTAATTGTATTTGAAAAAATTTTACTAATTCAAAAATACAAGAAAATACTTGGTTATTTATTAATTTATATTTCCATAATGAAAAATTATGAATTAATTAATACTTTTGTATTTATAGTAGGATAATATAACAAAATAAATACAGATTTATTTTATT